CCATCCTACCTGTGAGTACATGTTATCCCAGCCAAACCGGTATCGCCCCCACCCGCCATCCTTTGCAATTACCCTGTGACGTACCCAATCTTTTCCATACATGTGGCGAGTATACTCAGGACCACTCAATGCTGACTGGCATTCTGAAGGACCCGCAGTGCGCAAGAAGAGCACCAAACAGTGATTTCAGAAGAGCGCAGCAAGAAGAGGAACAGCAACTATACAAAGTGGAAACACAGGGGCGTTGAAAGAAACGCGTATGACGTACCTCCGAATGATCCACGTGGGACGTACCTCCGCTGGGCCTCCCAGGAGCCCGCGAAAGTGGCGACAGCTGCGCAGATCGCAAGCCCCCCAGGGGGCGGCGAGGTCCCGAGGTGATCCGCGTGGGACCCACCTCCGCAGGGCCTCCCAGGAGCCCACGAAAGCGGCAACAGTTGCGAAAACCGCAAGCCCCCCAGGGGCGGCGAGGTCCCGAGGTGATCCGCGTGGGACGTACCTCCGCTGGGCCTCCCAGGAGCCCACGAAAGTGGCGACAGTTGCGCAGATCGCAAGGCCCCCAGGGGGCGGCGAGGTCCCGAGGTGATCCGCGTGGGACCCACGCCCGCTGGGCCTCCCAGGAGCCCACGAAAGTGGCGACAGTTGCGCAGATCGCAAGCCCCCCAGGGGGCGGCGAGGTCCCGAGGTGATCCGCGTGGGACGTACCTCCGCGGGACCCCCCAGGAGCCCACGACAGTGGCGACAGTTGCACAGATCGCAGCCCCCAGGGCAACGCAAGGTACCGGGGTGATCCGCGTGGGACGTACCTCCGCTGGGCCTCCCAGGAGCCCACGACAGTGGCGACAGCTGCACAGATCGCAGCCCCCAGGGAACCGCGAGGTCCCGAGGTGATCCGCGTGGGACGTACCTCCGCTGGGCCTCCCAGGAGCCCACGAAAGTGGCGACAGTTGCGCAGATCGCAGCCCTCAGGGCACCGCGAGGTCCCGAGGTGATCCGCGTGAGACGTACCTCCGCTGGGCCTCCCAGGAGCCCACGAAAATGGCGAAAGTGGCGACAGTTGCGCAGATCGCAGCCCTCAGGGCACCGCGAGGTCCCGAGGTGATCCATCCGCGTGGGACGTACCTCCGCTGGGCCTCCCAGGAGTCCACGAAAGTGGCGACAGTTGCGCAGATCGCAGCCCCCAGGGCACCGCGAGGTCCCGAGGTGATCCGCGTGGGACGTACCTCCGCTGGGCCCCCCAGGAGCCCACTAAAGTGGCGACAGCTCCACAGATCGCAGCCCCCAGGGCACCGCGAGGTCCCGAGGTGATCCGCGTGGGACGCACCTCCGCTGGGCCTCCCAGGAGCTCACGAAAGTGGCGACAGTTGCGCAGCTCGCAGCCCCCAGGGCACCGCGAGGTCCCGAGGTGATCCGCGTGGGACGTACCTCCGCTGGGCCTCCCAGGAGCCCACGAAAGTGGCGACAGTTGCGCAGATCGCAGTCCCCAAGGCACCGCGAGGTCCCGAGGTGATCCGCGTGGGACGTACCTCCGCTGGGCCTCCCAGGAGCCCACGAAAGTGGCGACAGCTGCGCAGATCGCAGCCCCCAGGGCACCGCGAGGTCCCGAGGTGATCCGCGTGGGACGTACCTCCGCTGGGCCTCCCAGGAGCCCACGAAAGTGGCGACAGCTGCACAGATCGCAACCGCGAGGTCCCGAGGTGATCCGCGTGGGACGCACCTCCGCTGGGCCTCCCAGGAGCCCACGAAAGTGGCGATAGTTGCACAGATCGCAGCCCCCAGGGCACGAGAGAAGAGGAGAGGGAAACAAAGGAAACATGACAGGAGGAGGGAAGGAGAGGGGAGGAGGACGAGGAGGAGGAGGAGGAGGAGGAGGAGGAGGAGGAGGAGGAGGACGGGGCGACGACACTGCTCTATTCAAAACGAGTACCCAACCATAGGAGGATTGGGAAACATACAATGCGCGCGCTCTCGCTTATAAAAATTTATAAGATTGCAAGAACCCCGAACGGATTTCGAAACCGAGTTTCCAAAAAAAAACATGCCAAACCATAGGGTTTCGCAGCATTGGTTTGGTTAGAAACGTACGCGCGCGCTCTTACAAAATCTTAAGAACACCATCGGTGTTTCAATATGTTTCAGAGCATACTACCAAACGGGCTTCGTTCGCGCGCATGTCGAAATCTTTCGAACGCCTTTGCGCGCGTGCCGTCGCGAGAATCCGCTGCAAAACATGGGACGAAGGGCGCACGCGCGCGTCGTCGCGTGCGCATGCCGAAATCCTTCAAACGCCTTCGGTTTCGGACGGATGTCAAAATCGAGTGTCCAAAAACATACAAAAAACACAGGGTTTCGCAACACGGATTTTCAATAAAAGCGTGCGCGCGCGCTCTTGCGTCGTCGTCGTCGTCACCGTCCTCCCTCCTCCCTCGTCGTCGTTGTCGTCGTCGTCGCAGTCGTCGTCCTCTGCCTTTCCTCGTCGTCGTCGTCGTCGTCGTATTGGCGTCGTCGTCGTTTCCGTCGTGATTGTCGCCGTGGTCGTCCTTCCTCCTTCGTCGTCTTCGTCGGCGTTTCGTCGTTGTCCCTCCTATTTCGTCACCGTCGTCGTCGTCGTCGTCGTCTTCCCTCCTCCCTCGTCGCTGTCGTCGTCGGCGTCGCCGTCATCCCTCCTTCTTCGTCGTTCGCGTCGTCGCCGTCCTCCCTCCTCCCTCGTTGTCGTCGTTGCCACCGTCGTCGTCCTCCCTCCTCCCTCGTCGTCGTCGTCTGCGCTGGCGACGTCGTCGTCGTCGTCGTCTTCGTCGTCGTCGTCGTCGGCGTCGTCGTCGGCGTCGTCGTCGTCGTCGTTGTCATCGTCGTCGTCGTCGGCGTCGGCGTCGGCGTCGTCGTCGTCGTCGTCGGTGTCGTCGTCGTCATCGTCGTTGTCGGCGTCGTCGAAGTCGTTGGAGACGTCGTCGTTGTCGTCGCAGTCGTTGTCGGCGGCGTCGTCGTCGTTGTCGCTGTTGTCGTCGGTGTCGGTGTCGTTGCCAAGTGCCATTTGGTATCCAGCGTCACGGTCTTAAGAGGTTTTGCAAACCAAGTTGCGGGTGGGTGGGTGGGGTGTTTGCGCGAGCAGTGGAGTGGACAATTCACTGCGAACAGAAATTAATTGCACCGCATAGATTGGACCGCATATATTGCATTACGTAGGTTGCATCCTCTTGGGCCGTCTTGGAGCCCTCTTGGGCCGTCGTGGGGGCCTCTTGAGTGCCTCGTGGGCCTTCTTGGGGCAATCTGGGGGGCGTCTTGGGCCGTCTTGGAGCGTCGGGAAGGCGAGACATTGTTGATGCTGAAGACGTACTTTTTACCAAGGGATTTCGGCGATTTTGGCCTCTTGGGGCTCCCTTGGGAGGCCTCTTGGGGTGTCTTGGGGGCTGTTTTGGCGTTTCTTGGGGCCTTGTTGGGGTCTCTTGGGGGCCTCTGTGTGGGTCCTTGGTGCCTCTCGGGAGCCGCTTTGGGGCCGTCTTGGGCACCGCATAGATAGCACCGCATATACCGCATATATTGCATTACATAGGTTGCGTCCTCTTGGGCCGTCGTGGGGCCCTCTTGAGTGCCTCGTGGGCCGTCTTGGGGCAATCTGGGGGGCGTCTTGGGCCGTCTTGGAGCGTCGGGAAGGCGAGAAGCTGTTGATGTACGGTTTACGAAGGGATTTGGAGATGTTGGCCGCTTGGGGCTCCCTTGGGAGGCCTCTTGGGGTGTCTTGGGGCGAGAAGGGGGCCTCTGGGACTGTCTTGGGGCCATGGGCGTCTTGTAGCCCTCTGCTTGGCCCAGCTTGGGGCCCTCTGGAAGCCATCAGGAGCCGTCTTGAGCCCTCCAGGCGCGCTCGGGACCCAGCGGCCCCCAGCGGGACGCAGGTCTAGCCGGGTCTGTTCTTTATGTATATAGGTATTTAGCGTATTAGCACAGCTACATGTGACGGAAAACCGGACCCGGGGACCCCGGGGCCGCGACCCCGACCACAAATGGGTATGTTGGGGGCCCCAGGGGGGCTTCCTGGGCGCCGGGGGCCCTCTAAGATTGCGCGAAGACGGCCCCAGACTGTCAGATATCGCCCTTCCGGATTGCCAAAACGACCAATGACGGTAGAGATGGCCCCACGATTAGCCCCAAAGAAAATCAATGTTATTAGTTTGTTCTTGATTGTAATATAAATAATACCAAATTCTGAGTTCTCAAGTGATAGAGACCTGACTTGAGAATCTTATTGTGTGGTTTCAACAGGTGGTTTAGGACTGATCTGAGTTGCAGCAGCTGCCAGTTGGCCCCAAGACGGCCCAAGAGGGCCCCGAAACGGTGCCCGAGGCGTCCAAGACGGCCCCAATAAGGGCACAGGAGGGGGAACCCGAACCGACAATCCGAGCTTCCACCTCGAGAGGCTCCCTGGAGGGCCCAAGAGGCCCCCAAGAGGCCTCCAAGAGGCCTCCCAAGAGCGCCCGAAGCGGCAACAATCGCTGATTTTCCTAAGGTTTTGAAGGTTCTTCGAAGTTTCGCCTTTTCAGGTTCCCGACGCTCCAAGACGGTCCCAGAGGCCCCCAAGACCGCTGGAAGACAGATGAAGCCTCCAAGAGAGCCCCAAGACGGCCCACGAGGGCCCCAAGACAGTCCCTGAGACGCCCAAGACAGCACGAGAGGGCCCAAAGACGGCTCCAAGACAGGCCCAAGAAGGGGAACGCGAACCCAGAAGTGTCCAGAGGGTCGTAGTTCTTGAGACGCCCAAGACGGCTTGAGAGGGCCCCAAGGCGGCTCCAAGACAGGCCCAAGAATGGGAACGCGTACCCAGAAGTGCCCGGAGCCTGAAGGCGCCTCCAGAAACGCTCAAGACAGCCCCAGAGGGCCCCAGGAGACCTTCCAGAACGCCTCCGACAAGCCAAAACCCATCCCAAATCAAAGGGAAATCAGTGACTTTCGCCTTGTCGCCTTGTCGCCTCCGATGGGCTGCTGAGACCTCACGATCGCTCCCAAGAGGTCCGTAGCCACTTTGGCTCAAGCTATTTCTTGCTCTGGCAGTTCGGCACGCTTCTTTTCGCGTTGAGCCACCGACTGCGCTGTCAGGCCATGCCTAAGGCTGTGGACGGTGCGATGATCGACGCAACGTCTGTGGGCGATATGATCATCGGCGCAGCGAGTTCTTCAACCGAGCCCCCCGCTGTGGATGGCGTGATGCTTGACGCAGACACGCCTGATAATAGTATCGTGTCCCACCGAATGAGGCGGCGACCATGCTCTCATGGTTGCGGCTGGACGGCTTACAAGGCACATGAGACGTGCTGCAAGCAGTGTCGCGGAATGTTCGGACCTCGCAGCAGGGATTGTGCCTTGAAGAATATGAGATCCATCCGACAGAAGAAGCATATGATGCGAGGGGATGACGAGGCTGCAGTTGAAGAGTACGAATCCAAACAGAACGAGGTACTCGAAGAGGTGAAAGCAGACGGATTGAATGGCCGGAGCATGATGGAGTTGCTGAGAGTATTGGTTGACGCCGATTCGCTCATCGGCATCGAGACTCTTGAAGGATATATATATATATATATCGCATTTGCGTTTGGTTCGTTCCCTGAGCCCATTTTCGGATTTCCTCGACCGCTGAAAGTGGACACGATCTGGTCTGGTGTTGCTGTCAACGGTAAAGTTCTTGGTGCTGCAACGATTTGGCTCGTGCAAATCATGGACCCCGTGTTAAGCATAAGGCGTTACGCACAGAAGTGGAAAGATGGCGATTATTCTGTGCCGTTCATGCGGAACGATCCTGGTGCCGAGCTATTGGGACTGGCCATTGTGATTCTGTTCAATGTGAATACGCGTTTTCCAGACACACTGATACAGGAGCATTGTGAATGTTTTAGCCGCTGGAATCGTCACCCTCTTTACATTTTATCTGGCTGCAGTTTCGGCTCGGAGGGTTTGAGCGGCGGGCAGCCCCGCCTTCCTCGAGCCCAGGAGCACCCAGCCTTGCAGGTGCGCGGCCTGGCCGCGTGGCGCTGGCGATCAGGCCCCCGAGGGCCTGGGTGGCGCCCGCGGCAGAGGGCGCGGCGCCGGCGGCGAGCCGCCACGGCGCGTGCTGGGCCCCACAGTTGGGCCCTGGCGCTGGCGGTTGTCGCCAGCGAATGGGAGGCGATCGCCCCCGTCCTCTGGCCCGTGGGCGAAGGCGAGGAGGAGCTCGACAGCGAGCCGCTCTTCGAGGAGCAGGAGAGGGGGGCCGAGTTCGAGCTGCCCCACGGCCCGCGGGCGAGCTGCATGGCGCCACGGGCGCGCTAGAACCGCGTGAACCTCCAGTCGCAGACGAAGCCGACGGGGGCGGTGCTGCTCTTGATCAGCCGGGTCGGGGGCGCGAAAAGCACGACCTGGGCCGCGGTGGGCCCGACGCAGAGGGTGATCATCGTGAATCTTCGTGATCGCAAGTTCGCCCTCGCGAAGCCGAAGCAGGGCATCGCGTGGACAGAACCCAGGGCTGACTGAGAAGCAGAGGGATGCCGCCCTCATCGCGTCGGAGCGCCTGATAGCCAGATCAGAGGTGAAGGAGGCGGCGGCCCGCGCAGAGAAGTCCAAGCCCGATAAGAGGAAGCGCAAGCCGAGCTCCAAGACGCAGATGGCTGGGTGGGTGTTCAGGGGTCTCTCCACGGTCCTGGTGGCGGGCTGGAGCTACCGCGCGGCGGGGGCCTGGGGCTCGCGCTTTTCTTGGCTGGCGCGTGTGGCGCTGCCTGGAGCTGGGCTCGTGGCTGAGCAGTGCATGCCACGCGGCCGAGGTCGGCTTCGACGCTTTCGAGGACTTCCAGTCGTTTCTGGAGCTGGCGAAGGACATGTACGACACTGGGGACCTGGAGAAGATCATGCGCACCATCGGCGGGATCGGTGTGACGGGGCACGGGCCCCGGCTGCACTCTAGTGGCGGCGGCGAGGGCAAGAGCGACACCTCGGATAGTGACGCGGAGAGCGAGACGGACGCCATGGCAGTGATCGGCGGACGGGATCTGAGCGACACCGACGACGAGCCTGATGCTAAGGCTCTCTTCAGCGAGCTCGCGAGGGGGCAGGCGGAGCTGGCGTCTGCGATGATCGACCTGAAGGATAAAACCCGCGAGGACAGCGCCGCCAGACCCCCCGCGCCGCCGCCCGCCCAGGCGCCCCCCCCCCTCGAGACGCGGCGCGAGGATAGCCCACGCGGGGGCGGGGGGGCAGGCAGCGGCGAGCCCAGCGCAGGTGACGTCGACGCGTTCATCAGGAAGCTGAACGAGCACGAGGGCGCTGTCCAGCGCGACTCCGCCAAGGCGACCGCGGGCTCACCACCGACGCCCGTGGGCAGCAGCGGGGGCAGCGGCTCGCGGGACAAGATCGGCGGGGAGTTCGACGACCCGCTGAGAGATCAGATCGTGCAGCTGAGGCTGGAGGCCACCAACCCGAAGGATAGCCTGCTGAACGTGCTGCATCAGTACAGGCCCGCCGCAGGAGCCCAGGTGGGGGGCGTCAAGACGAGGGTGGCGCCCGCGGTGCTGGCGAAACTCTACCGTGGGGGTCGGACCGCCCGCGTCGAGACGCAGGAGTGGTTGCGCGCCAAGGAGTTGCAGGGCGCCTCGGTGGCGAACGAGGTGAACATGCTGGCCATGGTCTTGGACCGCATGATGAGCTCGGGCGAGCACGACGCGCTGATCAACAGTCAGGCGTCCGAGCTGCCGTGCCTGCGGCTCTACTCGATCTGGAAAGCCCACGAGCGGGTGCAGCGCCGTGCCGACTGGCAGCGCCCCAAGGCGCAGAACGGGGGGAAGTGGAAGTCCAAGGTCGACTGGAGCCTGGCCGAGGAGTACCTGCACCTCGACGGGGACCGCGACAGCGAGAACTTGAAGGCCGACGAGGAGGTGCTGGAGAAGTTGAAGCGCCGTGCGACCCTGAACAAGCACCTGAGTCAAGGTGGAGGAGGAGGAGGCGGCGCGGACGGCGAATAGGTTGCGGCCTGTGAGAGCGGTAAGCACTGGTCAAGAGCGTGCTACAGGCGCTGCACCACGCTGCGCGGGCAGGTCGACGGCCGCTGCTCGCGCGTCGCACACCGTCATCTGGGTCGGGCTTCTCGCGGGCCTGTTGGGGCGGGTGTTCTGCGAGCCTGCCTGGGAGGAGTTCTTCGTCCAGGCGATTTTCGAGCCGGAGGAGGTCTACTTGGATCTTCCTGAGGCTTCCCTACCGCAAGCTGGTCACCCCGTGCGCCGCGGCGCAGGTCACCAGGCGAGGCCCGGCTTGGACGTCGCCAATGGATCCTCGGGAGCGAGACCTGTTGGGGACTCTGCCGAGCCTCCCTTTTCCCATGGCAACGAGGAGATCGAGTGCTGGGCTAAGCTCTGCCTGCGCGTGACGTGGAGAAGGGTGGCGAGGACGATCTCGGCGATCAGGAGCATGGCCGCGGGCTGTGCGAATGGTTGGCTGCCGCCGTCCCCCCTCAAGACGATGGAGGAGACGAAGGAGGCGCGGGCGGCGAGCAGTCCGCTCCAGGAGAAGATCATCAGCGACATCTGGGACCGGCACGCCATTCGGGCGAGCTGGGGCAATATCAACGACGGGAAGGTGGCTCTGAGCCGCCTCGAGGAGACGACAGGCAGCGGCTATTTTACGACGGCAAGGAGGAAGGGGAACATCAAGAATGTGACGAGATTCAAGAAGGGAGATCTCTGCCCCCTACCCAGCCCAGGTACGACGCCGCTTCGTGTCCAGGACCTGTCGGCTTGCGCGGGCAGCTACATCGATTCGTTCGAGAAGCTGATGGTCATGAGCGCAGGCGAGGTGGACTGGGGGCGGTACGAGATGAGAGCTACTCGGAACCGGCGCTGAAGAGAAAGCTCGAGAAGCCGGAGCTCCTGTCCCGAATGTACCAGGCGGGGATGTTGGACTACGTGAAGGAGGTGCGGGAAAAGGTGGGGCTGTTCACGGCGGCCAAGGACGTCGACCCCGACTCAGGGGAAGCGTTGAAGAGTCGCTTGATCTGGGATTGCAGGAAGGCCAACGTTCTTTTTCACGAGCCGCCGTGGGTGCCGCTTGGGAGTCCCGCAGGCTTGGCCCTGCTGGAGTTGGACGAGGCCCTCTTGCATGGGCGACGGCTCTTCCCTTGCCAAAGCGACGTACCGGAATGGTTCTATCGGCTGCACTGGGGGTCGGAGCTGGCGGAATTCTTTGAAATTCTTTGTCGTGGAGGGCGTCTCTCCGCAGGAGCTGCGCCAGCATGGCCAGGGGAAGGGGCTGAATTTCAAGAAGCCCGAGGCCTTGGATATAGGACTGGGGGCAGCGAGCCTGGCGATGGGCTCAGCTCGGGCGGTCTTTCTGGCTCATACCTGCTTGGAAGCGAGTTTCGAGGCCCTGAAGGCGCCGACTATTACGCGCGGGAAGCCGACCCCAAGCTTTTGCAGTCCGACTTCTTCCACTCGACCTTCGCCGCAGCAGGGGGGTACTCCCTCGAGCGCGGCCGAGGCGGTGGGGGGCGGGGCGTCTGTGGGGGCGGCGGTGAAGCTCATCCTGATGCTGTGCATCGACGACTACATCGGCTTTACGCCGAAGGGCCCCGGCGAGGAGGAGGAGGAGATCCTGCAGGACAAGGAAGAGGTGATGCAGCTGCTGAACCAGAAGGACCTCGCGATCCACAAGGAAGACTGGGGGGGGGGCTCAACGGGGGAGTGGGGCCCACGAGTCCAGCTACGAGGCCGTATGTGCTGAGGGTCCAGACGAAGAAGTTCGCGGAGCTAGTCTTGGCGACGGAGGCGCTGTTGCTGGAGGACGATGTTCCACCCTCTGTCTTGGCAAGCTTGATGGGCCACTGGGCGCAGGCGATGGCGGTGTTCAGGCCCGCCTTTGCCACCCTAGACGAGACCTACAGGTGGATCAGGGACTACGAAGGGGAGGGGGCTGTGTCACCGCGGAGGTTGCCCGAGTCAGTCAAGAGCGAACTCTCGGCGTTGGTGGGCCTCTCGATCTACATGGAGTCGGACTTGGAGGCGCCCTGGTGGCCGCGAGCGTACATGACCGACGCCTCGGAGAGCGGGCGCGGGTCGCTGGCTTGCGACTGCGACCCCGAGGAGGCACGAGCAGAGACGGGTCGTGGGACGGAGGGGCTCGGGGGTCCGCAGATGGAGGAGGTCTACACCGAGATGGAGAGAGAGGTGGAGGCAGTCGGCGACGAGGAGGACCTACCTGCCCGACCCCGAGAGGGTCGCCCGGGGGTGCTGGAGTTGTTTTCGGGTTTGTCGAGCCTGCTGGACGCCATCAGGGAGGATTCTCGGGGCGAAGCGTGGGGCATCTCGGACGGGGGCGAGTGCGACGTGCTCGTCAGCGAGACCCTTGAGTCGCTGCTGAGGAGGCTTCGCCAAGGTTGGTACTGGCGGGTGCACCTTGCACCCCCCTGCGCCACTTTCTCGAAGGCGCGTGCACCGCCATTGCGGTCAGCAGAGCACATCTGGGGCTTCGAGGGCTTGGGTGCGAGGAGTCAGGCGAAGCTCGAGATGGGGGACCTGCTGTGATTGGTGGCGGTGGAGGTGCTGAAGATCTGTGTGACCATGGCGATACCCTTCACGGTGGAGAACCTGGCAGGCAGCTACATACAGGTCTTTCCTCCCCTCGTGGAGGTCTTGGCGAAGATGGACGTCTGGAGGGAGGAGCTTGATTACTGTATGTTTGGGGAGATCTGGAAGAAACCCACCGCATTCGTCACGAGCGTGAGAGAGGTGACCCGCTTGGCGAGGAGGTGCACGGGGTCTTTCCAGTGCTGCGGTCGCACGCAGATGCCACGCCAAGAGCTGAGGGGCAAGTCCCCATGTGGGCTCAGGTGGACACAGCTGGCGCGTGCGTGTCCACTCGAGTTGTGCAGGTGCTACGCGGAGATCGCGAAGCAGCTCGACCCATCTTGGGGGGCGATTCCTGCAGGGGCGAGACTGAGGCTGAGAGGAGGTCGGCCACAGATCGCCAAGGCGACAGGTACCACTATTCCGTTGATGGGCGACTGGTTGAAGCACCGCTGGCACGTCCTGTTCTGTGGAGAGTGGGGGCACCAGGAGCATATCAACATTCTGGAGCTGCGAACGGTGGTGGCGACCCTGAGGCATCTGAGCAGGACGTCTCAAGCCCGGGGCCACAGGATCCTGATTTTCACGGACTCGCTGGCGTCGCTGGGCGCGCTGCAGAAGGGACGGTCCTCGGCAAAGGACGTGCTGCACCTGTGCCGCATCGCGGGCATCATGCAGATGGTCTGCCAGATCAGGGGCTACTACCGCTGGGTGCCGTCGGAGCTCAACCTGGCGGATGGGCCTTCGAGAGGGCTACCCATCGGTGCGGCGGAAGAAACGGTCAAGCTCCATGTGGCCCGAGGCGTCCCACAACGATTCCAGCGGCTCTTACGTCATCGTCAAGATCGTCAGGGGGCAAGCGCTGGGTTGGCACATTGATAGCCTTCGGGATGCTGGTGGCGCGCGGAAGGGCCGTCGGGGATTCAGGTGGCCAGAGCCCGCGCGCATCCCGAGCAGAGGGGGCGAGTGGACCGCCCCACGTGGCCAAGAATTAGGGGGCGCGGGCCTGCGGCCGGGCGCAGCGGGACAAGCTGCTCTGCGCGAATCGCCTGGTCATCCACGCCGTGGACGACGCGACCAACCTGGCCTACCAGAAGGCGGCCCGCGAGTTCCTGGTGGACGTCAAGAGGAACCAGTTCGACTTCACCACTTTCGAAGCGAGGTGCCAGGCGCTGGCGGACTACATCTCGGACATGTGCTACGTGCGGCAGCTGGGTTTCGGACGCGCCAACATGCTGCTCAATGGCTTCATGCATGTCTTCCAGGACCACCGTGACCGTCTGCCGACATCGGCAAGGGCCCTGAAGTCGCGGCAGCGACTTGGGCAGCTCGGCGAAGGCGCACCGGTTCTTATGGAGGCGGTCGCCCTGGTGATCGGCAGAATGTTCAGCACGGGCCGCTTGATCGAGGGCTCGGCGGTGCTCGCGCAGCTGGACGGATGGCTCAGGGAGCAGGACTGGGGCCAGCTCAGGGCCGAGGACGTGTCCGAGGGGCCTGGCGGCCAGCTGGCCTTCACCCTTGGCAGACGTGAGAGAGGGGAGGAAGTCAAGGCGGGCGCGAACCAGGGGGTCGTGATCTCATGGCCGGTGACAGCGGCCGCAGTGCGGGCCCTGCTGCGAGGTTGCGCTCGCAGGGACCTCGTCTTCCCCACCTCACAGGACAAGTTCAGGCGCGAGCGGCGCAAGGCGCTGGATGACGTAGGGCTAGGAGGCCTGGCCCCCCCCCCCCCCCCCCCCCCACGCCATTCGGCATTCGGAGGCGGCCAGCTTCGTGGCAGGTGGCGGCTGCCTGGAGGCTGCGCGACGCAAAGGACGGTGGCAATCGACGACGGCGCTGGCACGCTACACCAAGATTCACAAGCTGATCAACCAGTTGAGTAGGATGACGGACGAGCAGGCGCGCGCTGGCGCCCGTTTCTGGGCGGCGCCAGCCGAGGCGCTGACGTCGTTCATCAGGGAGTCGCCCGCGGCTCAGACCCCTCTGGCCAGGCACCTGCTGGAGGAGTTGGAGCGGGCGCGCGGCCAAGAGGTCGAGCTCCCGAGCTCTGACGGCGGGCGCGTGTTGACGACGGGCCGTCCAAGCACTGCAGCCCGCGCCCGTCACCGACGCAAGAAGGGAGCCATTTTGGCATCATGATTGCCCTGCGCTTTCCCTGAAGGCCCAGCTTTTGCTTTTGTCCGGCCGCAGGGCCCTATCTATTGATATAGCCGAAGCGTGCTGGCGGTGTGTTGATGTGTCCCTCTGTCCTCTCCCGTCTTCTTCTGAATTGACAGCGGAGAAGCATGTGGACCGGGGGTTTTACATAACACTGGGGGGCTGGAGCACAACATAGATGAATTACCCAAGCCCTCCTACCCTATGTGTGCAAGGCCGGTGCTTATGGATGTGTGCCAGTTTCTACAGATCGGGGCTGGGACTTTGCGTTCCGAGTTTCTCGCTGGCCCCCTGAGGCCTGGTGGCTAGGTCAGGTGCCGCTCGAGGCCGTGGGCCAGCAGAGGCTCGGTCCCGCCTTTGAACACCTCGGGGGGGGGGGGCTGCCCCCGCTAGCTCGGCTTGCGGCAATCTCCCGTCGCTCCCGTGGCTGCGTCGGGTATTCAGGCACCGTGGTGGTGCGGCCTCGCTTGCTATTATTATGTAGGGTTGTCGTTCCAGCTCCGCCTGCCCCCCTTTTTAGAGGTCCCCCTCGGGCTTTCAGTGCAAAGCTGGCTATTTAATAGATGCGCTGATGTAAATACGCGTTTTCCAAACACATGTTTACAGTAGCATTGTTAATGTTTTAGCCGCCGAAATCGTCACCCTCTTTACCTTGTATCTGGCTGCAGTTTCGGCGCCGCCACTCCTACTCTTGGGTCAAAGCCCCTGGGACTTTGTGTTCCGAGTTTCTCGCTGGCCCCCTGAGGCCTCGTGGCCAGGTCAGGTGCCGCTCGAGGCCGTGGGTCCACAGAGGCTTGGTCCCGCCTTTGAACACCTCGGGGGGGACTGCCCCCGCTAGCTCGGCTTGCGGCAATCTTGCGTCGCTCCCGTGGCTGCGTCGGATATTCAGGCAGCGTGGTGGTGCGGCCTCGCTTGCTATTATTATGTAGGGTTGTCGTTCCAGCTCCGCCTGCCCCCCTTTTTAGAGGTCCCCCTCGAGCTTGCAGTACAAAACTGGTTATTTAATAGATGCGTTGATGCGTTGATGTAAACGCCTATTTCGAGGCGAAGCGAGAGGCCATCGCGCATGCGAGAATTGACGGTATACACATATTTCGGTCGCAAGCGATTCGGGCCACATAGGGGGCAGATTTTGCTTCTGGGGGAATGCGCGAATTATGACGTAGTTGTCACCAGTTGCATTTGCACTTGTATGTTGATGAGCTTCTCTGACAACCCCCAAGGTGTCTTATTCGATGCCCTGAGAATCGTATTCTTCTACAGTTCTCGACAATACCAGCAACGGTCTCTCATTCGTTCGCGAAGATGATTGGCCCGGGCATCGTTTGGTTTGGTTGCACGAACAGGTTCACAATGATGCGCAGTACCTCTATTGGGGGACCGAGTGTGCGTGGTTCTGGCGTTCTCATGGGTCCTTCTGGTAGCATTTACGCACTCTGCGCAGTGAGAAGCAGCGCCGAGGGCGCAGCGGCAATCGGTTGCTACGGTTGCAAGCGTCGATGTGAGAGGCGGCGCTCGGGTGGGCACACGGGAGAGCCGAAGTGCCCGCGGGGTGCGCGCCCGCTCCTCTCGGAGCGGACCTCTCGCTGCGAGCAGTAGTGCGATGTAGAAAAGCTCCGCGGCAACGTTTTGCCTCTTGTCGAGACCTGCGTCGGGGGCCAGGGGCTCATGGTGTTAATTCATTGGGCTGGAGAGTTTGCAGGGCATCAGCCCTGCGTCATTGGACACGGTCTTATTTGCATTCTGTGGCATCGTTTCACCACTGGCGGCGCCCCAGCGCCCACCTGCGGTGCCCCCGCGGCACCTCGACTGCAGGACGCTTGTGCTCTCGCTCGCACTTGTTCGACTCCCCGTCCCCGTGAAGCGCCGGGCGGGATAGAGGTTGAGGCGAGGCATGCAGTAACTTACGAGCTTGGCCAGGCACCGCTATGAGCTTCCGCTCCAGCCTACGTCCAGAGGGACACTCCGTTGTTGAACATCCGTGTGTCGTCGAAACAGAAAAACGATCGCTCCCAAGAGGCCCCCAGGAGGCTCCAAGTCGTCCTACAAAGCCCCTTCAGACGCTCGAAGAGCTCCCACGACGCCCCCAAGAGGCGTCCAAGAAACCCCTTGCAACTTGTGGGTCGCTCCTGACGTTGCATGTGTGCGTGCGCATCTGCACGCAACTGTGGGACTGTCACGGGCTGGAGCTGGCTAGAACCTAAGCGCGCGAAGCGCACGCGTGGTTCTAGTGTGTGTGTATGTATATATATATATACACATTATGCGCGCGCCTGAATTACATGCGTTCGCGTGTGTCGGTAGGCAAACGCGCGAGCTGTATGATGCGCGTGAGTTGTTCGTCATCTCGTGGGAGGGCCAGGGAGGTGACGGCCTTCGCGGATCTACATTTGACCTCGGCGCCCTTCGAGGGGCGGCGGATTGCAAAGTTGTCGTCGCGTTCATGAGTTTCTGGGAGGGCCAGCGAAGTGGCGTCCTGAGCGGGTCAGGTTGGACATGGCTGTCCGTGGGGGGAGGTTGTGAATTGCGACGCTGCCGCATCTTTCGCGATCCTCTGGTAGTCGGGCGGGAGGCAGCGCAGATACGTTCCACGCGGATCGGAATCTTCCTTGTCGTTGCTGGGGCATTGCGAAGTTTCGCCAATTCCGTGTGCTCCTGGGAGGGCCAGCCGAATCAGATAACGCTTTAAATCGTTGGAGTTGTTAGAACTGCGATATGCTTGCCCCGCTGTTCGTTAGCTCCTGGGAAGGCCAGCGGGGCGACGTTCTACTCGATGCGAACTCGGCCTCGCCATCGCTGTGGGGGGGAGGGGGGGGGGGGTGCGGACTGCGGCACTGCTGCCACGCTCGTGGCCTTTTTTGGAGGGTGGGAGTCTAGCGAAGTAACGGAGCAGAATTTGAACTCGCCGTCCTTGGGGGTGGGGCGTGGGCGGCGGGGGCGGGGGGCTGCGAAATGCGAAATTAGCGTCACGCTCGTAAGCCCCAGACTATATTAGATTATAGAGGAATTGGCGACATTGGCGACGCCCTATGTGGATCATAATAGACTTGGCCGCCTCTGGGCGAGTTGCGAATTGCGTCACCGTGAGAACGTTCTTGAGTTCATGAGAGGGCCAGCGAAGTGACGTGGATCATATTATAAACCTTGCCGTCCCAGGGGCTGCGCATTGCGTAATTGCTGCAGCCGTTAGGGCCATGTGGGGGGGGTCAGCGGCATCTTACTCGGATCATTATCTGGCCTTGCCGTCGCTGGGGAAGGTGGGGACCTCGGAACTCTGAAAATGTCGTCACTTTCGTGCGCTCATGGGAGGGACGTCGCAATCTCCCTGGGTGCGAACTGAGAAACTGTCGCCACGCTTGTGGCGCATAGCAAGCGTGGCATCACCATTCCTGGGGGCTGCGATCCGCGAGAGCACATTGGGGTCAAGCGGAGCAGTGCCCTATTCGTAATACTATCAAAAGACATTGCCATCCCTCCATGGGGTCTGACAGCCGTGCAATTGTCGCGGCTTTCGTTGGCTCCCGGGATGTTTGGCGGGGTGGTGTCCCACGCGGACCTAATCTAGACGTCGCTCTCCTTGGGTTCTGCAGTTTGCGAAACTGTTGCCACTTTCGTGGGCTCGCTGAAGTCCAGCAGGGTGGTGTCTTACGTATACCCAAGCGGGACATCGCTGCCCCTGGGGAGCTGATGATTGCGCAACTGCCACCACTTATGGGAGGTACCGCCAATGCACGCAGGTCCAGAGGAGACTTCGTTCGTCCTGCGGGGTGCGAAGTGGGAGAATGTCGCCACTGTCGTGGGTCCTTGCATCATAGTGCGGGGGTACGCAGATCCAAGTGGGACCTCGCAGATCCGCACAGGACTCCACTCTCCCAGGGGGCTGTGAAGTGCGAAATTGTCGCAATCGTCGCGGGCTCCTCGGGGTCCAACCTCCCCCCCCCCGTGGCGGCCAGTGGCGAAACTATCATCACCTTCGTGGGCTCGTCAGGGGTACAGCATCGTGCGGGGCTCCGCAGGTCCAAGCGATAATTTCTTATTCCCTAATCATTGCTTGCATTGAAGGGGTCCTGGCGGATCTTGAAGGATTTGGCGAAAGAGGGCGGCCGATTTCGGTAGGCCGCCAGGTTCCCGGGATCCCGGGTTCCCGGTTGCTGGTTCCGGGCCGATTTCAGTTGGCGGCGGGGCTCCCGGGTTCCATGTTCCAGGGTTCCTAGTCGATCTCCTTATCGATCGGTCTCATTATCGATCTCGTTACAAGCCTGCCGATCGATCTCACAATCGATATCACGATCGATCGCACAATCGCTCTCATTATAGATCGCACGAGCGATCTCACGATCGATCTCATGATCAACCGTACTGATCCGATTTCACGACCGATCTAAGTATCGTCCTCACTATCGATTCCGTTATCGATCTCACTGTCGATCTCACAATCGATCTCAATATCGAGAGCACTAATTTTAAGACCATCCACTGATTGGGGCTTTTCTCTAGTGTAATGCAGATAGTGGCGGGGCCTCGCTGTCCCTGGGGGCTGCGCGATTGGGTTGCCGCTTTCGTGGGCCCCTGGGGGGTCAAGTGAGACCTCGCTCTCTTGGCGGGGCTGCGAATTACGAGACTGTGGCCACGTTCGTTGGCTCCTGGAGGGGTCCAGCGCACTGTGGGGCCACGCAGATCCAAGTCTACCTCGCCGACCCCGGGGAGGGAAGCTGCGAATTTCGAGGCTGTCGTCATTTTCGTGGGATCTTATGGGGTCTGTAATAATGCGGGGCTACGCAGATCCAGGTGAGACCTCTCCCCCCCTGGGGATTGCAAGCTGCCAAACTGTCGCCATTTTCGCGAGCTCATGGGAGGTCAGCGCGGTGCGGGGCTGTACAGACTCAGGTGAGACGTCGCTTTCCATGGTTGCGAACAGCGACGCAGTGTGGTGACACGCAGGTCAGAATGATTATGACGTGTTGCCTCTTTCCAACCTCTCGCGCCAGTCGATCAACGCGTGAACCTCCGATTTAGCGTTTGCGAAAAAGCGAGTTCCTTGGCAAGGTTGTGCCTCCTCGCTGTTTCGATTGGGGCATTATTGGCAATTGTAAAATGAAGTTTTTGCTGGAGCGTTGGTCACATCTTAGGATCGGCGTTTTGCTCGCGTCGCTCAGAAAGGTTTTTTTCGCGTGGCGCGGGCACGCTTCAGGATCCGATTCTGTCAATGTCGTTGCCGCTCCCCTCCGTTTCCCTCATTCGCCGTCCGGTGATTGTCCAGCTCCTTTTAGTCATCGTAATCTTGTTCATCCCCTCGTCTTTCTGCTCAGCCGGTACATCTTCCTTCTCATTATCCGCCTCTTCTTCGTCCAAGTTACATCGGTTCCCTTTCGAATCGCGCATCGCACGATGGGGTCATGCTAAGGGTTAACGTCCTCGAGGACCCCCTACAGACACAAACGAATTGAGTGGAATGAAAAGATTTGGGCGGAAGGGGTACAGTGTCAGCTATGACGCGTGCGCGCCTAGCTCGTCCTTCTCCCTCTCCCGCCACCCCTGCGTCCTGCATCCTGCTACATCTTCCCCATCCCATTCCTCATCCATCCTCCTTTCCCTTTTACCTTCCGACCCTTGCCACTCCCCGCCAAGCCGAGGAGGAGAGGGACCAGCCGACCGCGGTGCAAGCGGAGGCCAGGGAGGCACATGGGCCTTAGCAGTGGGAAGGGCGAAGGAGGAGGGGGAAAGGGTTACAGGGGGCGGGGGAGGAGGAGGTTGTGGTGGTGGTGGTGGTGGTGGTGGTGGGGGGGCTTTGGGAAGGAGGAGGACGAGGAGGGAATGACAGGAAGGGCAGCAGGAAGGGAATGGGAGAAGGACGAGACGGGGAAGGTCGAGGATGGGGATGTTGGATCGGGGAGGGGTTGAATGAGCACGAGGGTGAGGAGGAGGAGGAGGAGGAGGACTATATAAGAGAAGTCTTGTGGCGTTTTACTCTTGGCAAGCGTCGAGCTTAATTTCCCTTACAACAGATGACATATGTGGTGAGCTGCGGCGAAAGGGCTACATATGGCGTGGTTTGCCAAGCGTCCGTTGGCAACTGGAGGAGCGCGAAGGGGGGTAGCGATTTTGACCGAATGTGTCATCATTCTCGTACCCAGCCAGAGAGTCTCCCGAAGGGACTTCGGACTCTTGAAACCACGCATAACCAGTTGCGGAGGTCTCGGTATGCATGAAGCCCCTTGTGTGTGTTCAAGGTCCAGGCCGCGGCACGTGCCTGCAATAGTCATGCGGTGCGCGTCAGGTATTCGTGGTTGAAATCATACCAACTGCGGCCACAAGTTAACAACGACAAAGCGCCAGACCTAGTGAGTGGATTTGTTCATGTTTCGCGAGCCCCTAGCAGCCGATCCAGTGATTTGTGCCGCGCCCCCATCGACTGTGGTCTGGTATGTTCTGGACTTGCCTGGCCTGGCCCTGTGTCGCATGGTCTGGTCTGATCGACTCTGGCGTGATCTGTGTTGGTAGTGCCTGGCCCGGTCTGGTCTTACTCATGTGTTACGATCTGATCTTACTTGGTCGAGCAGGGCAGAAGAAGGAGGATCACAGCACCCCTGCGCACGCGCTTCAGCATCCCCAGCAAATTCCTCTGGTTTGGTATGATCTTGAATGCTTTGGCCTCGCGCGGTGTTGGGTAGTGCCGTAGGGTTTGGTCGTCTCAGGCCTGCTATGGCTATGGCATGTTGTGATATGAGTGCGGTGAGATCTGGTATGTCATGCTCGTGTGCCGGGAAAGGGGGCACGGGGAGCAGGAGCGGGATGAAACTACTCCCCCTCGCGTCTGGTCTGGTTTTGCCAATGCAGGTCTGGCCTTCTACGACCGTGCGTGGTCTAGCCTGGTCTGACGATATACGCTGCAGTCCGGTGTGGTCTGTGGCGGGATCAAATGGTTTGTTCTGGTCGCATATGTGGAGCAGGCACGCAAGGAAGAGGACGATTAGTTGGAGTTGCGGGGAATACAAGCACGCCAGGAGGAGGGGAAGGGAGGGGGAGGACACTGGAATGTAGATGACGTTGCCACCTATAGGACCTATATGTGCATGAGGGAGCAAGAGCCGAAATTTCTTACACCGTCCTCAGGTACGTGGCTGAAGTAGGGCAGTCTTGCTGTCTAGCATTGCCTTGTCGTCGCTTGCTCTGCGGCCCGCCCGCGACCCACCGCGCAACGCAGACAGACAGACAGACAGACAGACAGACAGACAGACAGACAGACAGACAGACAGACAGACAGACAGATAGGTAGACAGACAAGCACACACAGACACGCTCACACACACACACACGCAAGCGACCCACCCGCGGCCCATCCACATTACTTTGCAACGAATCGCCGCCGTCGGGCTGGTCGTGCAAACAGATGTCGGCACCGCCGGCGGGCTTCTCTACACTGGCTCCGGGACCTTCAGGCTCGCCGATGCCCCACGCAGCGAACCCACACATTGCTGTGCAACGTGTGGGTTCGGCGTCCGCTGCGTGGTTATTTGCATTTGCGCTCGAGCCTTGTAGTGCTTTCAAGGCAGCCCGGGCGCTCCTTCATTTGTTTATCGTCATACCCCTCCTCATTCCCAACCATCATGTGGTATTGGGTCCTCGTTTTGAAGAGACAGCGCCCCGCGTCCTCATCCTAGCCTCCACCTCCGCTCCTCCTCCCTCTCCTCCCTCCTCCCATCCCTGCCTTTGCCTTCCGTGCACGTCAGATTTCGGCACACCCCTCACGCTTCGTGGCCCCACCGGGAGCTCCACCGAAGGCCCCAATGGCCGCGACCGCTTGCCCCGCCCCCCCCCCCCCGCCGCCCGTTTCGGCACACCCCTCAAACGTTTCGTGGTCCCATTGGGAGCTCCACCGAAGACGATGCTCACAACTGAGTCACCCATAAGTGCTTATGGTTGGGTCTTTCGCCAGGCTAAGTTTGCTTGGCCCGTTCTAATGTTTGACCCATCGCTCTGATCTGATTCAGCGTGATCTAATCTAGCGCGGTCGGCTCTGGAGTAGTCTGGTCACGAGTGTGTTCGTGTGGTGCGATCCGGTTTGCTATGGTCGACAGCAGGGAGACAAGCAAAGGTAAGAGGCGCGGCAGGACCGAGTCTCATGACTCATGAACTAATCACCCGACAGCTCGCGCCCCTTGGCCCCCGAAAAGCCCCACTCCAGAAGGTGAGCACGGGCGTAGCGTATCACCGCGCTGGATGCAACGTCCTCGGTGTGGCAACATCGTCGAGGATCGACGATCTGCAAACTCTCGGGGTCGAGACCACTGGACTTACACGCGGTTGTTGGCCGTCACTCGACTTTTCGAGCGCCCAAAGCAGTTCACGGTGTCAAGGGGCCAAGAGCTCCATGCTAGCAAACACTCCTTCCTTTTCTTGCTTTATTTTGGCAGCAAATTACTCGCACCCATGACCTTTCGAAAACAAATAATTTACCCCGCCTGGCCTAAGCTGCCAGTACCATGCCCTCACCCCCACATGGCTCGGAGCTGCCATCAGCACATCCTCGCCCCCTGGACTAAACTGCCATCAACCGACCCCCAACCTGCCTGAACTTGCCATCAACTGACCTGGGGCTCAACACTGCAAGCCAAATCTCCCCACCCCTTTGCCAACAATTGAGAAGACGTATCCCTGGCCCTTGGCTCAACAATGCCAGCAGCATATAAGCACCCTCTCGTCGAACATCAGCACACTGTCCCCTACCCCTTGCCCTAAGCTGCAAACAACATATCATCTCATCCTCGGCCTGCAGCTGCTAGCAATCTACCATGCGCCCTCGGCTTAAAACTGCCAGGAACATGTCCGTACCCCCTGGCCTGCGAACACAACAAAATGCAGTGGACATTTGCGCCTGGCCTGACAGAGATTTGAAGCCTGGGGAGGACTTGCATAAAGACTGGTGGGGCGGGAGAGAGTCGGGAGAGGAGCGTAGTGCGACAACTCTGGGGCACCGTGCGTCCTCAGGTGTTGATGGGGCTTGCTTTACTTAGACTGTCATGTCTTAACTCATGCAGACGCGATGCGTCACGTCAACGACGGGCTACAGTTGGGGAAACCAGCAGGTACTGATACCTCTACTCCCCAGACCTCTCCAGGGGTGCATTCTGACCAGACTTTCGAGGCGAACCCAAAGGGCCCCAAAAGGGGAAAACGATGCCAGGGTAGCGTTGCCCTGAACAGTGGGGAGTTTGCACGAAGCACCTCAAGCATGAGTTGAGCCATGCTTGCTCCGCTGGAGGACGCAACCTCCTCCACGACGGCCAGCTCCCGCCGCGGAGGCGTGGAGGACGAGGAGGCCCGCAGACACGCCCAGGGAGGAGTTGCAGGGAGAAGGGGATATGACGGGGGAATCCGGGGCGGGGCGGCGAGGAGGGAGCTGCTGGGGGACGAGGAGGAAGAGGGGGGGGGGGGCACAGAGGGGGATGCAGGAGGAATAGGGGGTGGCGAGGAGGGAGGTGCGGGGGATGGGGTCGGGGAACAAGCAGTGGCATAAACGTAAACTCTCGGAGGTCCGCGCGGGTGTCTCGGAGCGGCGATGGAGTCCCCCTGACTTCGCTTGTTGCGCCGCCCGTGGCGCGCTACGCGCGCCAGGGAGGGGGGGCTCCGGCGCCGATCCAAGAGATCCTCGCGGACCTCCGAGTTAGAAAGTTTATGTCGCTGTTTTTTTTCCCAGATAAGGAAGAGGATGGTGGCAAGAAGTGGGATACATGGGGGAATGAGAGGACTGAGAAGAGGGGGTAGGATGTCAAGCTGGGTGCGCTCGCGCCATATCTGACATCATACCCCGCGGGGCCCCCGCCCACCCATCCCGTCCCAGGCGCTGTGTTTCTGTGTCCGCTCACGGGCGTCATAGCGGACGTGGAATGCACAAGAGGACCCCAATGTGCCATGCGCAGCCACGCAACGGGGAGTTGTGTACACTGGAAGATGAGGTGGCGGATCCACAGGAAGATGAGCCAGAGGAAAAGGAGGAGGGCGACGAGGAACAGCAGCAGCAGCAGCAGCAGAACTAGCAGCAGGAGCTGGACTTGGGAGAATATGGAGGAGCAGGATGACCAGGGGAAGGCGGGGGAGGAAAAAGGAGCGGGTATCCAGAAAAGTGGCTCGCGCTAGGGCGAGAGCGCCAGTCTGAACGACGGGGGGAAGTGCCGATCCTAGAAGGAGGCCAATGCTGCAGCGGGAGCACCGACCTGCTACACCGAAGACGTTCCGATCGAGAAAACATGCGAACGATCAATGAATGGCATCCCGAGTGTTTGTGTGTTTGCGTAAGGAAACATATTGTGCGGAGCTGGGTGGCGGTTTCTCCGGCCAATTTCGGGGAGACAAGAGAGTAGTATTCATATCAAACTAGGTCCGCTCGCACCATACCTGACATCCGACACTTCCCACTCCTTCTCATTGTGTTTTTGTTTCTGCATGTCCGCGGACGCATGTTATGTGTAGCAGATCCGGAACTCCCAACAAGCCCCGAGATAACAATGCGCATTCGGAAAAGGAGAGTTGCGTACATTGGAGGAGGGCGAGAAGTAGAAGGAAGTGGCAGACAATAAGGAGGATGAACTGGAGGAAACGACGCAGGAGGAGGAGAAGGAGGAGGAGGAGGAGGACGAGGAGGAGAAGGAGGAGGAGGGAGGAGGGAGGAGGACGAGGACGAGGACGAGGACGAGGACGAGGGCGAGGAGGAGTTTGCAATGCGCGGCAGCCAGGCGCACACCCTATTCGCGAGAGCAAAAAGGCCGGGCGACAGGCTGGCAAACAAAACCTGCGGGCTAAACACCCGCCGAGGGCCACTCGCGGACCCCAGGCCTGGGAGGGAGGCCCTTGCGCAGCCGCATCAGGGCAGTCAGCTGCGCCTTAGTCAGCGCGAGGGGTCCGTACCTCGCCGCCTCGCACTCCTCCAGAAGAAGCGAGGGCCTGGAGTCCGCATAGCGCCCGCAGGTGCTGCAGAACGTGATGGCGCCCTTGCGCCACAAAAAGTGAGAGGCATGCGGCACATGTCCAGCGATGCCAGTGCCAGGAGGCAGACGAGATGGGGGATCAGGCATCCCCAAAGACCGAAAGAGTTGCTCGTCGATGGGCGGCAGCCCCTCGTACGAGCGCGGCAGCCTGACGCAGACCCGAGGCGCGGGAGCAGTGTCCTCCGCCTCTGGCTCTGCCGCAGGCTCGAGAGGCACCACACCGTCCCCCCCCCCGTCCTCAACCGCCCCGTCCCCCTCCCTCAGCTGGCCTCGCTGCTGCAGCTCCACGCGGCAGGGAGGCGAGCAAGGCGACGGCCGCAGGGCCGAGCACGATGAACGCAGGAGGTGGAGGGCGCGGCTCTGAGTGCGCCTGACCGATCGGCCACAGCTCTTGCAGCACCAGCCGAAAGCGGTCGGCACAAAGGCATGCTGGGAACGAGCCGCGAAGCCAGAAAGCAGCTCCTCCCTCCTCTGAGCCCTAGAAACCTTCGGTTTGATAACCTCACGGCCAGGGCTCTTGGGGGCGGAGGCGGCGGCAGCACAGAGCGTAGCATTGCGGAGCAGGATGGCCTCGGCCTGCTCCACCAAGTCCAAAGCGCGACGCGCTACATCAGGATCAAGCTGGGCCTCCTCAGACCGCTCCTCGGCGAGCCCGTCGGCCACTGCATTGAGAAAGATAGCCTCGGGCAGCACAGTGTGGCCGAGACGCGCAAACTTCGCGGGGTCCTCAGCTAGATGCGAGGGCACGTGCAGGAGCGCAAAGCGGCCCACGCGGACGTCAAGCAGCGAAAAAAGATCGTGCCAGAGGTCCGCGTGCTCGAGCTTGTAGCAGTGGCGGCGTCCGCGTGCTATCGCATTCACGTGATTCACGTGGTCGGAATACAGCTTGAAATCGGCAGCAGGGTGGACGGCCCTGACGCACTCCACAATGGCCAGGAGCTCAGCACGAGGCACCGTTTGCACAGGGCCGTCCACCAAGCCCGTGCAGCCAGAATCCCAGTCCAGACCCTGGCCGTCGCCAAGGCGGGCAAAGCTCCACGCCACACGCCGTAGCAAGGGCTGAGACGACCAGGCTCCACCTGCACCGTCGGTGGCGTAGATCCCCCCTGGCAGGGCCCCGACGCCGCATCGCAGCCACCGATGGCCACGCTCGTCGGGGGGAGGCGGGATGTTCAGCCAGGCAAGGGGCACAAGCCCGCGGCACCAGAAGACAGGGGCGCTGTCGATCTCCTCCAACGCCTGACTGCGAAGATGGTTGGAGGAGACCACGGCCTCAGGAGGGGGAGGCACACCGACCGAGAGCGCCCAGTCCCTCTCCATGAAGTTGCACATGCATTCCCAGAAACGATGACGGCTGGATTCACGGGAGCGATGGCAGCGCTGGCACAGGTCGTCCGTGCGGTAGCCTGCCTGGTGACGACGCTCCTCCGTCCAGTATCCTCCGCAGGCGACTAGGCGAACGAGGCTGGCAAGACTGTGCTGGGACTCCTTCTCCAGCCGTTCCGCCAGTGCAGGCACATGCTGCCACCAGACGCCACCCTCCGCCCCACCCCCGTCAAGATGCTTGGCCGCCTGTCGCCAAGCCGCAATCTCAGCGGTCTGCTCCAGAGCCGCGAGGAGGCTGGTGACGGGGGCGACGGAGGTGGCGAAGAGCTCCCACTCCTGCCCGTCTGGCTCGACCAACTTGGACAGGGACGGGCACTGCCAGCCAGCTGCAATGACAGAGGCCTGAAAGGCTGAGAGCGGGCCGCGCACGAAGTTCCAGCCACGCGCCACCCGCTTCAGGGACGCGTCCCATCCTCGCTGGACCTTCGCAGCGAGGCCGTCCTCTCCAAGGACTCGAGAGTAAAAAGCTCCTGCGATGTGCCGCAGGTACCAGATGGGCGGGTCGCGCCGCGCCCCAAAACTGATGCGAATGGCCACAGTAGCGCACGTGCCGCGCTGAGGGCACTTGCTGGCGAGCCTCGCCTGACCACGCAGCTGCTTCAGCATGGTCGGCGCCAGCCCGTGCACCTCGGGCGCCCACACCGACTTCGGCAGGGCATTGGAGACGAAGAGGCGTGAGGCTCGCGGCGCTGACCTGACCAGACCCGAGATCTTGAGGGCGGCGCGCCTGCCCTTCATGAAACGCTTCTTGCGCACCTTCACAGAACGCGAGGCACCGAAAGATGTGTCGTGGCCGAGGTCGCGGGCAACACGAACAGTCCTGAGGCCACCAGCCCCGACCTCGGCCGCTGACGCCCACGCGGGCAGCAAGGCACGGATGGCAGCAGAAGAGGCCATGAGGCCACACTTCCCTAGGGAAAACTCGCATCGCAACCTGCGCAGGCCCGTAAAGAGGGCGCGCAGCACCACAGGAAAAGCCAAGCTGAGCGAGTGCTCAGTGCCGAAAAGACGGAAGGCGAGGTCGTCGATCCACTCCCTCAGGCGCAACCCTGGCACCAAAGAGTGAGCCGCCTTCAGCGGGGCGTGCAGGTAGGCACGCGCCTGCGAGACAGCTTGGCCACAGCCTGCGAGGATGCCTCCGCCAGGCAAGATACCTGTGTGCACCTGGCGCTGGAGGGTGAGGAGTCGAGGACCGAGGTAGACGTCGAGGGCGAGAGCGAGGAGGCGGAGAGGGTAGCCTAAATCCTGGGCAGCCGCCGCCAAGTCAGGCAGAGACACCAAGTCGTAAAACTTCCGAAGGTCGAGCAGTCCACCCGCAACCTCGAAGCCTCCCAGGAGCGCAAGCTCCCCCTCCAGCTCGTCCAACCACCCAGCCAGGTCGGCCGAGCCACCCACTGTCTTGTCCCAGGCCCCGTGCTGGTCACGGTCCCAGGCGCCTATCTCAGGCTTCCTGATGCGGCATAGCAGCACGTAACTGAAATTGAGCAGGGCGATGGGCCTCAGGCCTCCATCCTCCTTATCCAGCAAGGCGATGAGGTTGAACAACTCTTGAAAGGGCACTGTGGCCTCGCGCTCGATGGCCGTCAGAAGGGCCGCGAGCGCAGCGATAGCAGCAGGCGGCGCATCCTTGACCAGGCGAGGCGGCATCATGTCAATCCCCCTCCCCCGACGATCAGGAACGGTCTTTAGCGCCCCCCTCACCTGGTCAGGAGTGACAGGCTCGAAGCAGTCTGACGAAAGAGCCGCACGGCGGATCCTCGCGAGGGCCTCCAAAGCCTCGGGCCGCGAGTGCTTGCACCAGATTGCGTGCCACGCAGCGCCTTCCGCCTCCAGCACGGCAGCGGGCGTAGAGGCTGGCTCTCCGTCCCAGACAGGCTCGGCGCGGCAGAAGGCGGGAGGATCGCGGAGGAGCCTATGGGCTTTGCTGGCAGAACCCGCCAAAGCGTCG